AGCACTGCTTCTCATCTTTGAACACAAGATGATAGGTCATGCTTAGATTCGTTAATGGCTTTATGCTCAATATGTGTGTCTTCACAGCTGTAAATTCTTTATCTGAGCCTATAAGAAAATCATATACCTGCTCATTGTCTTTTATAGTTTTGATCTCCTTGGCCACTTCACATCTTCAGCCATTGCACTTACATTTTGGCAAGGGTGCAATGGTTCTCATTTCATCCTATAGCCCCTTAAGCTTTGTATAGTATGCAACCACAGACTGCTTTTGTCGCCTCAAATATGCAATGTCACACTTAAGCTTATAACATCCTAAAAATATTTCCCATGATTTATTAATCTAATGAAGGGTAACTATGAAAATTTGAGTATAATTAGGTCTAAAGATAGCTATTGAGTATAATCCAAAAACTAAAACTAAACCCAATAGCCGTTTTAGACCTAAAAACATTTTGGCTATTGGGTTTACTTTTAGTTTTTGGATTGGGTTCGGAAGTGAATTAGGTTACCCAATCTCAAATTGTAGGGAGAAAATGAATTTTTAGCCCATTGTGTTATGTTGTAGTATAAAAATTTATGCCACAGCATAATTTCCTAAACCAATTTTTTTCAAAATGCAAAATTAATTCGAAAAACAAACAGTGAGATCTAAAACAGAGAGGGGGCGACTAAGAGAGTTTTTTCTCTTCTAGGGCATCAATTCTTAGGCATTTTAGAGGTGTTTGAAGCTTGGTTTCACTTAAGTATGCCTTTGTTATCTCTTCTTCTTCCCTCTACACATTTTGAAAGTGAGATTTAAAGTTGGGAGATGATGATTTTTAGATTTAAGGCTATGGGTCTGAACCTATTAGTCTAAATGGGACTAATGGGAGTTGTTTAAGTATTCTACACATAGTTTAGAAGTTTTTACAAGGTTGTAAGCTTGGGTCATCCATTTTGGACGAACCCTAGACCTCCAAAGTGTGATTTTAGATCGTTAGGTGTTATATTAGTGATTATTTAAGTTAATGGAAGCTAAATGGAGTTAATGGGAGTTAATAAACCTAATGCTTATGCTTGAATGCAAGATATTAGAATTTTTAGTAATTAAAGTGTTGATTAATGAAAGTTGAAAGAGCGTTTATGATGATTTTAATGATGATTGATATAATTAATTGTAGATCAATCATCTTGTGCACTAATCAAGCTTTGGTATGGCTTGGGAAGAACTTTTATTGAAGGGTAAACTTTTGACCTCTTAAATGTTTGAAGTAATCAAGAAAAACCTAGTTTGTATAGTTGAATATTAATTGATTATTTGTTGAAGTGGTTGATTTGAAACATGTTTAATATTTTTAAACTCATGATTCGAATTTGGCATGGTTGGTGATGTATTATTATTGCAAATTTTATGTATGTTCATATACATGCTAATAGTGATGATGAATGAGAAACTATGATTATGTAATAATTGGTGTGTGGAGTGAGTTAGGTGTGAGTATAGATATGTGGATTCATGATATTAATGGTTGATTAGAATGTATATACATATGTGACATACGTGCATAGCATGATTATTGATAGGAGTTTGCCTAGGAAGAGAAGTACTTGATTAAACCCGCATGGTATTGGTAGCGATCGTTAGAATTGAGAGCTTGCCTTGACACCAACCATTGGAATTAGGAGGTAGCCCTTATCCTATGATTGATTTAGGACCGTCCCACTTGTTCTATGAGAGACTCAAACCTAACTAGTCTCCACTGGTTCATAAGGAGGCAAGATTAGGAGTATAACACCCCATGGTTGTTAGTATTAGGGTAACCCAAATTATACAAGTGAGTCAACCTTAGCTCGGTAGCTCCTCACAAGTGAAAGATTAGGTTAGTCCATGAAGGATGTAGCCACTAATTTTATGTCATATGTAATAGGAGGGTATAAGGTTGACATATGATCATGCATTTAGTCCTGGCCATATAGTTGTTAGTATTATGGGTCGGTGCTATTTAAGGGTGCATGATTGGTATTATTACAACCTCAAGTTGTGTATTATTGATATATATATATATATATATGATTATGTGTTTTAAGCTAGTCACATGGTTGTTATTATTGTGGCCAAGGCTATACGTTGTCATACATGCTTTATATGTGTGTTTATTTCCAATTGTACCCATTTTCAATTAATATGCAACTATATAGATTAGGCAAAACTTGGTTATTGAGTGGTTGTACTCACCCCGCAATTCTCAATATTTTTAGGGTCTAGCTCATTGCATCAAGATCAGGAAAAACATGCCGAGGCATAGGATTGTAGAGTAATCCTTTATATGCCTCTTTATGTTGTTTTATGTATATTAAGATTGTTAACTTGCCAACTAGGATTTACATGAATATTTTTATACTACTTGCATTCTTATTATATCACACTTGTGTATTTTATGCCCTGAGTTAGTGAGTTTTAGTTGTAAACTCTAGTGTAAGGCCAAAATACTTGTGCAAGTAGGGATATGTGTATTTTGACTGGTTTGGAATGAAGATGATTGTTTTGTGTAAGAAATTCCTTCCCTTGTGTTTTATGTGTTATGGGGTTGAGTGGTGAATTTGTGATATATGTGTTTTTTGGTTGACTGTGGTGTGTTGCACGAGTCCTATAAAGTCTATTGAGTGTAGTCTAAGGGTTGTTATGAGCTTATGGCACTTGGCTGTGATTTTGGATATCCTAGTTATGTTTTGAAAGCATAAATAGGTAAGTTTGCATTTTGGTGTCTAACTTTTAATTGAGAAATAATTTGAATGTGAAACCATAGAGCTTGGAGAAAGTTTTCTGTATACACCTAAATCACCTCAATCGGATGTCAGATGAAGATTTGGAGAGCATTAAAAATTCATCAGAAAATCTACCATTACAGGTTTTTTTATTGTAATGGGCTTCTACATTTTATGCTGCAGTGTATTATGGAAGAATCACTATTTTGACTCTTTTGACCCCAATTTGATATTTTTTTATTTTGTATGATGTCCATGCTTTTGCATACATGTTTTCCTTTGATCTTTGTTTATGAAATGATTTTTTTAACATGTTAAGTTTTAAAAACTTGGAATCTCATTTATGTAAATCTTACAAACCTAGTAATTCAACTAGGTTAGTGCCATGATTATCTTCATTTTGGAGTTGATTGTGGACTAGTAAGAGAAACTTTACAAAGCTCATACGTTCGAGGTGTACTTCCCTTTTTGAACAATTATGCCAAGTCAACCCAGATCTCTTGAGCCGTCCTAGCATACCTTATGCTCGTGCAAAGTTCTTTGGACATGCTGTTCTTGAGCCATCCCTTCATGATGGCATGGCATTGAATCCAAAAAGGAAGCTTCCTGAGGTCTGAAGCTGGCTGCTTAACCAAGCCATCCACGAACCCCATCTCGTTCATCGCTACCAATGCATTTGTCATAACAGTCAACCATTCCATATAGTTATTTTTGCTCAGCAATTCACTGACTTAAACTTGCCTCGGATTATCCGACGCATGAAGAAAATATGGTCATTTCACGTCTGGTGCCTTGCTATGTGCTTCGGCAGCCATCCTCTCACGAGTATGTGTTTGGTTTCATTTTCAAAATGCTCTCTTAGATTCAGAATCGTGGCACTGCTCTGGTACATGAAGAATTCTATGGAGAGAAAACACTCAAATATATTGAAGCAAGAGAGCTGTACATATATAGGAAGATGGGATTTGTAGATCCATAACATCCGCTAATATCCATATAATTATGAAAGAAATAAAACAATATCCTATTATATTTGTACAAGATAATTAGCATGATTAATGGAATAATATCTCCTACAATATCGGTGATTTCCATCAATATCAAATCCTAACAATGCTTGAGTTAGTCCCAATTAGATAGCCATATTAAAAAACAAGATACATGGCAGGAGTTTTTCTTCCTAGAAACTGTTGTTACTAATAGCATTTTGTCTTTGGTAATATTTTCTCTTTTGTAATTAGAAAATTGGAAAAAATAGTTTCCCTCTTGAACAAAATCAATATAATATCTTTTAATCGGTTTATTTTGTAAAACGTGATTTTTGATTTATTGCTAGCAAAGAAAGACATAAAAAAAATTTGTTTGACTTGACTAAATGGCTTCTAAATTGTTTTAGTTAAGCATAGTCGAGCTAGAAAACAGCAGTTTTATGACCAAAGTGTTTTTTTAAGAGCAGGACAAGATCAAGTTGACTTTTAGGGCACCAGACCCTAGAAGTGATGAAGAGTTCATCTCTATGGGCTTCCCCTATAGAGAGATACTTCTTTGACCTTGAGTAATTTTGGTTTAAGACATGGAGCTTTATTAATTGCCTGATTTGAAATACAAATTTCAACCTCACGGTAAGAATTGAATCGTCTTAAGACTCTACTCAAAGAGATCTGTAACTATTTCTATTTTTTTTTCCAATAAAAGAGGAAGATTTTTCTGGAGCTTTCAACCAAAGTCAATAGTTTACATGATTAAGGGACTGTAAGTTATATATATCTGCGTTGGTCAATGATGCTTGCCTTTTGACCAAGCACATAAATATGATCCGAGTCGTTGCCGTGCTATGTATTTATTCCATTATTCAATGAATCAACCAGTAGAGAAAGGTTGCTTGTCTTCCTCACCAAACTTTATGTTAAATTAATTAGGGTTAAATGACAAATTTATTCTTAAACTATAGGTCTAGAATTGTGTGAAACCTTAAACTCATTTTTAGCATAATATTTCTTTTCAATTTTTAAAAACTGTAAAATGATCTACCATTAATGAAAATTAACTTTGATCATTAGTTGATAAAAAATTATGAAATAGAACTTAACAAACTACAGAAAATGATAAAAAAATTACATAATAGGACACAAATTATAGTTCAAGGATGAAATTGTAATAACCCTTAAATTAATATCCAATTCATGAGCATTGTTCTCATCAATGCCAATCGGTTGGCAATCCTATATAAGCGCAAACATTAGTGACAATATTTCTCAAGCCTGAACATATATCTATCAAAATCATTAGTTACCTTAAAGTCAAAGAACAACATGTCCCGTAACAAAACCCCGACAGTGAGTCTCTCCGGCCACCAAAGTATGCCGATGATCGGCCTAGGCACTGGAGACTTTCAGTCTTCCGGTGAGACCGTCAAGACGGCAGTCATAGAGGCTATCAAAGTCGGGTACAGACACTTTGATACTGCTTCAGTTTATGGGACAGAGAATGCACTTGGGGAAGCCATTGAAGAAGTTCTTAGACTTGGACTTATTGGGTCCAGAGACGAACTCTTCATCACAACTAAGCTGTGGTTCACTGATTGTCATTCAGAGCGCGTCGTTCCTGCTCTGCAAAAGTCTCTTGGGTGAGCATATATATATATAACTGTTTCCTCTTTTGGTATTCTCATCGAAACCAAGCTTTATAAATCAAAAAGAGCTTCTAAATCGTATTAAATTAAAATCCATACCTTGTGGACGCAGGTTACTAAAGCTGGAATATCTGGACCTTTATTTGATCCACTTACCCGTCAGTTCAAAGTCTGAGAGCATCGGCATATACCCATCTAAAGATAATATAGAACCATTAGATGTAAAAGGTGTGTGGGCAGCAATGGAAGAGTGCAAAAAACTAGGTCTTGCAAAATCAATTGGCGTCAGTAACTTCCCTGTGAAGACACTTGAGAGTTTATTGTCTGCCGCTACAATTCCTCCTTGCCTGAATCAAGTAAGAACATCGATCTTTCAAGTTTTTATTGCTCGTGTTTCTGGTTCTTGTTTTACCATTCTTGATCACTCTTGACTTTGGCATATATACGCTTGACTAGTGTATTATTTAATGCATGCATGACTGAGTAATTATAGAAAGCCAGATCATCATTGTACAGCTAAGATAGTGCGTAACTACCAATTGACTTTTGACCTTTAAAAGGAAATGTTCAAGAGGAGTTAAATTATTTTTCTGTTATTATGATGTTACAGGTGGAAATGAACCCTACATGTCAACAAAAGGAGCTAAGAGAATACTGCAAAGAAAGGGGTATACTTATAACAGCATATTCTCCTCTTGGGGCTCCAGGTACAAGATGGGGCAACAATCGGATCCTGGACAATGAAATACTTATTGACATAGCAAAATCTCATGGAAAATCAGTTGCACAGGTTTTAATTCCAAGTTCCTTTTATATTTTTGAAGTGTTACTTTGATCATCCATGATTCTGCTGCCTAATTTAATTAATGCCTTGATTCGTAGATATTTTAATGCAATTCGTTTTTGGTGTGATATAGGTTGCTCTGAGATGGCTGTATGAGCAAGGAGTGAGTTTTATTGCAAAGAGTTACAACAAAGAGAGAATGAAACAGAACTTGGAGATATTTGATTGGTCACTTACCGAACATGACTTGGAGAAGATAAGTCAAATCAAACAGATAAGATTAAATCAGGAGAACCCTTTGTTCGAATACGTTGCTTGATACTTACATCGTACATATATTCCAAGTGACATCATCATATAGCCATCTTGTTTTACAGTTTTTTTTTTTTTTTTTTGTTTTTTTGGGCTCGAATTATGTCTTCTTCTTCCCATAAAGTGGTTATTTGCCTTGTCATTGATGAACCGTTGTACGTCTATGTAATGTTTATCGTGCGTTATGCATTTGAAGCTTGAAATAAAGATGTCATTTTGTGAATTATACTGTAAGTGTTGTAGCGTTTCTGTGCACCTGTAAGTTTCGTGATTCTGTGACGAATGAATAAAGATGTGATATTATTATTCCTACCGAGGAAGAAAAGTGATTATATTAACATAAATATGTTTATATATTACTCATGTAACTTGTGTCTTTACATAAATTGCATAAATGATTAGTTTGTTTCCTTGTAATCTTTCACCTTTGTTTTGCTAGTACATTTTCTTTTGTAATAGTTTTGATTTCAAGAATCAAGAAATTAATTAAAATTCTGTAACATTATTGTCAGAACCAAAAATTTGTTTGAGTCATATATCAAAACGGGTTAGTCTGCTTACATCGAACATTTTTATTAATAACATGATTAATGAGCATCAGTGTCCACAACTTTTTTTTCCCCTCCAATAAGGCAAAGCTTAAAATGGCTCGCAATACAAAAAAATTAATAAGATTCAAATGACCAAGTCTCCACTTATAATAAGACAAATGAGCGATTTTAATTAGCAAATCCTATAATTGCTTAAAGAAAAAATACATACATACATATACACATAATTTTGACCATTTCTTCATTTATGGGTGTCATTCTTGTATAGGAGCCATGTTAATTTTTTCTATATCGTTCTAATTTTGTTGGATGTCCTAAAGGGACACACACAATGGTTGAGTGCTCAAACTCTAAAGGAAGTCACATTTTGGAGAGGATGGGCAAGTGATCCCTCATCTTTCAAAAATTACACATAAATATCCTAAGTTTTAATATTTTTCCCATTATAATTGTTACTATTTATTAAAATATATTCTTCAGATTAAGCAATACAAGTTTGTTACAAACTCTAGGGCAGATTAAGTTTGAGGAGCATGCTAGACATTATCTATTAAGATTAATTTTGCTAAGATATTATCTATGATAAGATTTATTTTGTTGAGAATTAAGGAATATTTTGTATTCATTTGTCATTATTAGAATATTTCTTAATTATTATTAGGATGATCTATACTATACTGTAAGCTTTTTAGATGAATACATTATAACACTTTTTTCAAGTCTCTTTTCTTTCTCTCCTAATTTCTTTCATTGTATCAGATCCTTATTTCGAACTTGGGAATTTTTTGCCTAGTGATTCATCTTTTTGAAAATTACTCCCGACATATTTTTGTCTAATGATTCATCTCTCTGAGTTCTCATGTTCATATAATCTAGCTCTGCTTTTCCCTTTTCAATTTTTATACAATATTTATTGTTTGAGTTTGGTTCTTCATTACATTTGGATGTACAGTTAAAGGCAGGCAAGTAACCAGACAAAAACTGGCAATCGATCAACAAACAGGGCTAAATCAAGGTCTAACAAGTTTATCAGTCCATCATATCATTAAAAGAAAAAAGAAAAGATGGAAGGGATGAGAAAGCAGATAAAAGATGAGGAAGATGAAAAAGCTTCCAAAAAAAATTATAGAAAATAAGATATTTTTTTAGTAAACCATCACCTTAAATATAGTCTTTCAGCGATGAAATTATCAGACCAGACATGAAAAAGATGAGATGAAAGCCACAATGCTGAAGCTTACTAAGGGTCCGTTTGGATTTCAGTTGGGTATAATAGATTATGAAAATAATTGATTAAGTGGTAGATTTTAATCATAATTGATTATGTTATAACGCAATCTGTTTGGATACTCATGTTAGTAATTTTTTAAAGATTCAAATTTTATTAAGAAAAAAAAAGAAGAGAAAAAATTTTGTTTTAGTTTTATTAAATTTTGTGCTTTTTTTGTGATTTTTTTCTTGGACTTTTTATGTAATTTGCTCATATAACTTTGTAACAAAAAAATGCAAAGGCAGATAAGCTGAGATTTGGAGCGTTGGGAAAAAATCGATTTTTTGAAAAAAATCGATTTTGACAAAAAGTGAATGTTTGGGTAAATTATGGCTTAATCGATTTTTTTGCCCCTAAAATCAATTAAATCCTCAATCCAAACAGACAGTGAGATGCCCGCAGGCGGCGGCTAAGAGAAAGGTAGAAGGAAAAAGACGAACCCTTGGCCCACAATTCTTCCTCTCTCTCCACGTGCATGGATGCATCAGTTTTATTATATTACACTAATGACTAATGAGGGAGCAACTGGCGGGAAGGGGTTTCGAATGGGGGTAGATAAAAGTATTATTATATTACTCTTTTTATCTTAAATTATAAGACACTTTTGAAAGATATTCGTCATCCTAAAATATAAGATAGTTTGAAAAGATTAAGGTTTTATTAAATAGTTTATTCCAATAATATCCTTTCGCTCTCTATTTAATACTAATTAAATTTAGATTTAAGGTTATAAAATGAAGGATATTTTTAAAAGTTTATATTTTTGTTTTAAACAAATAGGGTTGTTATGTGTATTTAATGAGGTTTGTTGATATATAAAATTTTATCTAAACATATCTTATAATTTGAGACAGAAGGAGTATTATTCATTAAGCAATGCAAATTTTTTTTTTTATAAGAATGATATGTTGATTCATATTAATATTAAGGAAAATGACAATTACAGACCCTATAAGATGATTAATTTCAATTAGGGACATCCAATTATTAAAATTTCATTTAAGAACCATGGTCTTTGTCTGCAATTAAATATCACTCAATTTGACTAAAATACCCCTCACTTTAAATGAATAAATAATTTGACTTGACCTCTTGAATAATGCAAAGGTCTGTTAAAATCTTTAGGATGGGTCTAACATCTGTAAGTCAGTTACTTCAATGCCATAGTCTTGACTACACAATAACGTTTCTAGAATATGTTATAATATAATGCAAAAAGAATCTCAAGGGAATGTCATCCAGGAGATATGTAGATAGAGCACCCAAGACCTGGCAGGGTATTTTTCTCTAACTCTACTTCTTGACTTGCCTCCAAACTTGTCTCTACAATAATTTTGATATTTTCCCTCCATTTTTAGGCATTTTGTGGTGTTCTACTTTCTTTTATTATTCGCATTTAGCTTGCATGCTCTCTATATAGCATGCATTTGGAATTAATGTGTTTATTAACTTTCTAAATTTAATTTGCTACCCTTATTTGCATTTTTTTTTTTTTACGTGAGCGGTTAACTTCAATGGGATTACTATATTTTGTTTTAGTAGCTTGTTAAATTAAACTCATTAGTTATGCTATATATGGGTTTTCAGTAGTGACGTCCTATAATTTAAGTACTTAAGTTACGTGCATTTTTTAGTTTTTTATTACGGATTTCCAGTAGTGATGTTCTATATATTTTTCATACTTATGTTATAGGATTTTAGTTATGATGTTCTATTTTTTCAGCATTCATGCATATTTTTCAAAACCTGTGATATGGATTTTCAATGATGATCCTCTCTTTTCTCAACATAGTTATGTTATGTGTTTTTAGTAGTAATGTTATATTTTTCAGTACCTATATCAATTGCATTCAATACTTTAGATAAATTTTCTCAGTAGTAATGTATATGTAGGTGAGAAGAAATGGTCAAGGTAAAAGTAAATTCATCAAAAAAGAAAATAACTGAGTTTGATGCATTTTAAGATTATGTATTGGTTGGTGACTCATCCCCTAAACCAAGTTGGTTCAGAAGTCTTGAAGTTCCTTTCAAAAGCCAAACAAAGAGGAAGAAGTAAAAAAGTGAAGTGGCACAAATTATAGGCTTCTTTTTATTATTGGCATTTCTTGCTTCTTTTATAGTGTTTTTGCTACATCTAAAAGGATGACTGGTGTAATTGATATTTACTAAGTTGATAATCTCAAAAGTTATTTTTATTAATACACAAAAATGATATAATTCTAATCTTGTTAACATTTTGTTTTTCTTTGTACCAAAGTTTTGAATATGTAAAGTGTGTAACCAAATGTTACTTCAGAGTATAAAATATATACTATTAAGTTACTTGGTTTTCACAAGTAACTCTCTTAAAAATTACAACTGATATTAGAAGATTTTAATAGTGAATATAAGTTGTTATCAAAAGAAAACTTTTTGTGCTATGCAAAACTTAAAATGTTGTGACATGAGGATTTCACAAAACCAAGTTTTCATGATTTCAAAAGTGATTCTATCATGATCTCCATCCCATGTTAGGGGATTTTAATAGTTATTTTTATAAGAAACTATGTTCTAAAATTAGTGTTAGGGGATTTCAATAGCCATGCACTTGATAATTTACACAACTTTTGATATTAAACACTTTGTAAATATCAATTACATCAGCCATATTTCTAAATGTAACAAAAACATTTAAAAAAGCAAGAAAATGTCACAAACAAAAAAAAAAGCCTATAATCTGTGTGATTTCTCTTTTTTCTTCCTCTCCTTGTTTGGCCTTTGGAGTGAATGTCAAAGCTTTTGAAACAACTTGATTTAAGGGATGTGTCACGCCTTCCAATACATCATCTCATTGCATATAAGGCTCAGTTATTTTCTTCTTTGATGAATTTTTTTCCCATGACCTTTTCTTCTCGTCTGCAAAAAACAAAAATACTAATTAAAAAACTTTATATAAAATAATCAATATACATTAAATAAGTACTAAAAATAAAATATTACTAGTGAAAACTTGCGACATATCTATTGGAAAAAAATAGACTATTGAAAAAATAGAACATCATTACTAAAATGTCATATCATAAGTATTGAAAAATAGAACATTACCATTGAAAATCCATAATATAAGTACTGAAAAAAAAATTACAAGTACTAAAAAGCCATCACTAACAATATATGATCCAAGTACATAAAAAATATATATAAGTACTAAAAATACAAAACATTAGTATTGAAGATCCATAATATAAGCACTGAAAAAAAAAATGCATATAACATAATAAGTATTGAATATAGAACTTTACTTTCGGCCAAAAAAAAAAGAATATAGAAAATTAATACGAACAATACATAATACAACTATTGAATTTAGTTTAATAAACTATAAAAGGAAATACAACCATCCAATTTAATTATTCATGCTATAAGACGCAAGTAGGAGCAACAAGATTTAGAAAGTAAATAAAACCACTAATTTTAAATCCACAATCTACACAGATCATGCAAGTTAAATGCTAACAAGTAGTATTAAAAAAAGTAGAACATGACAAAATTAAAAACAAAAAAGAAGGCATAAGATATGAAGGAAACAAGTGGCAAAATTGCAAAGAGAAATTGAAAACAAACCAAGAAGCAGAGTTAGGGAGAATTTCTGGTGTGTAAGTGACCTTCAATGGTGGTGGAAAGGTAAGGAAATGAAGATGATGATAACGAGAAGGAAAAATTAGGGGATAATTGATGCAGAACGGGGAAGGAACAGGGGGAGAGAATATAGAAATGAAAGAAAGGGATTAATAGAGAGAAGAGAAAACTTAAAGGAAAGGCAAAAAAATAATAATTCTTATTCAATCAAATGTTAGTACAAATAAAATAAGTTGAGATGCTATTTATAAGCCTCAAGCCAACCCTAAAAGTAAATGCATGAAAATCCTATAAATTTTAAAATTAAATAAAAAGATAACAATAATTGAAAAAATAATGATAAATATTGAAAGATCACTACTTAAAAACAGCTTTTAACATCTCTTTTTTAGGAATATTTACATCCCTATGGTGGGGGACATAAATTAGCGTAACA